AGAGAAGAGAGTTAATCCCTAGAAATGAAATCTTGGTTAAATTTTTCTGTATGCTACTTCAAATACAATATATGGGAAATAGAGCTCTTGGAATAACTTTGTAAAATAATTTAGAAAATAAAACACTTCCTCCAATAATCATTAAAGATACAGTGAAGCCAGACTTTCTTTAGCATTCTTCTTTTTATCCTGCAATGACTAAAACATTGCTTTCTGCAACAAAACTGACTGTATTTACTCACAGTTTGCCCCCTTGTTTTGAAAAAATATGAGTAAAATATGCACACAGGTTAATTTATTTGGAGTTAAAATAGAATACATGCTTGTTCTATTTTAAGAGAAGCCTGATGCTTGAAACATTTCATTTGTCAGAAGCTTAATAGAAATATTTCCTAAGTGTGCAATGAAACTAGTAATAAAACATTAGTAAATGGAAAAATTATACTTGTTCAAAATCCATTAACTATTTTACAGCTCTATGGAATCATATAAAAATTTAAAACACATCCTAACACGCAATAATCAAATTAAATATTTGCCTTGGTATCAAAAATGTTTCATTAATTTTTATTATTCTCTTCCCCTCTTTTTATATAGCAAGCACAAAATGGGGAAACAAATTTGGGGCAGAAATTGTGGTTGTAAAGTTATTCACATGGGTGGCCTGGAATTTAGTTTATTATTATTATTACCTAAAGTAAACTCAGAGAACCATTCTTTTTTATCCTTTATCTTCAGGTAATCTCTGCATCTCAGGGAGGAAAATGTTGACATGCTTATTTCTATCTTCCAGTGAATTACTGCAAGTATTGACTCTAAAAACGATATATAAATTTAAATTCAAATAGACAAGAGTTCAGCAACAGGCTCTTCCACCCTCATGTTGTCTGCTTATTACCCCCAGTTTCCTCATTCATGGACTGGAAATCAGGATAATGCCTGACTTGTGAGCTGACAAGAGCATTCCTGTGAAGGACATAACACAGGATCTGGCACATAGTAAATGCTTAATAAACTTTATTACTATTTTGCTACATGAGGAAAAATAACTTTAAAACATGATGATAAAAGCTACCTTTACTGGAAACTTACTAATGTGTCAGGCACCAAATGAATACTTAACATGCACTATCTAATTTAACACATAATGTTAACCCATTTTATTCTCCAGTTCAAGCATTCCAAGGATCCTAGCGTGTTGTAGTTCTTTTCAACTACTCTTGGTTTAAAGAGAAAATTGACATAAAAGGATAAATCCTATTCTTACATTAAAAACAATAATTTGGTGATATCTCCCTCCATTATGGCAGATATTACCATATTAGCCAAGGTTTTTTTCCTAACTTTTTCTTGACTCAAGATACGATTAGAGTGAATTACATAAATCAGGAAATTGATTACTTTTTTAAAGGTCTATTTCATTTCACTCTATGTTTGAACCAGATTTGGAATTTGACATTTTTGTATACTCTCACTAATATGCATGATTAGTTTGATTTGCTCCTGTATTTTGATTTCACCAATAAATTTAGGGGGTTATTTCTTTTATGTTATTCTTTAATAAGAAGAACAATAAAATCTTTAAATGCCCAGAATAAATAGTTCAAAAATAAGTATGTAAAACATGTATATATAAACTAAATATGTAAAATTCAATCAATGCAAAAGTTTAATTTCAATTTTAAAATGAACCCATTCTCATGAGTTTGAGAGTATGTTTGTGTGTGTAAGGCATAGAGTTTTGTGTGACTTGAAATATATATGATAAAAGGAAATCTATAATAATAAAAGTATAATATGCAAATCGACAAAATGGCCGAACAGCGGAATGACTGACCATCTGGACAACCACGCTATGACACGCACTGGCGCCAGGCCAGCCAAGGCGGGTGTGATGCGATTGGTCGGGGGCGGGGTGCCATCGCCCCACAATTGCCCCACAGAGAGAGGCCCAGGTCATCCTCTGTGGGGCGATTGATAGGGGGGCTCCGTGGAACTGGAGAACCGGGGGTGTGTGGCGGTGGATGGGGGCAGCACCAGGCCAAGGTGGGAGCAGGTAGGGGGTGGGGGGGGCTGGCCCCGGCAGCTGTGGCTGCAAAGGCCTACCCTTGCATGGATTTCGTGCATCAGGCCTCTAGTATTAAATATTTGCCTTTGTCATACTAAGTATATAATATGTACTAATATATTACCTCTCAGGTATCCATTTCTAAGAAAGGACATATTTAAGAAAATGGTATAATTCACAGGACTTCTTGAAAATAAAAAATCATAACAGTGAGTTAACTGGAATTCTAACTCAGCAGTAGAGTACAACAGCCAGATTCAAAAAAAGTTGCACAGTCCTATAACTATTAATTTATGAACAGAGTTGTAAGTATTTATTGATTCTAACAAAACAGGGACCAACCTCAAGAGAAAGTCTGACTTTCACTATTAATATAAATAGTGACCAGAAGGAAAAACTTTAAATGCAGCCAAGAGTTTATTTGGCTACTGTTAAAATTCTTCTTTTTAAAAAAGAAAACTGAAATTTGTATTGCCATTTTTACTTCACTAGTGTCATTATAGAAAAACATTCTTAACAAAATATGTATAAATAAAATCTTCTAAAGTATGTAATGAATAAATATATTTCACTCCTGAAAATCAAATCAGATAAAGATTATCTGAAAATCTTATTCTCTTAAACTTTAAATTATCAGTACTTTATACTTAAGATGTATGTCCCTTAGCTTCATTTCTATCATCAATGTAATATCAGCAAGAAAAAAGATTCCGCATTGGCCAAGGATTAGCCTTCGTTCTTTAAATTTTAATGGATGAATCTTAAAAATTTATAATACCCAGAGTCAATACAAAATTTGTGTGCAATATCTTGCACCTTTCTGATGAGTGGCTCTACAACTTTCTCAATGATTGAGAACAACTATTCAAGACAAAAGAAAGCCACGACTGAGTGGTGGTGGAAGTGTGGGTGCAGGCACCACAGTGTGGTAACCAGTCTTAAATCCTACCTTTCAATGGCTGTGTAATCCTCATTAAGTTTTGTAATATCTCTGAGCTTCAGTTTCCTAATTTTAAAAATAAAGATAATAACAAGACATATTTCAGAAGTGGATTTACTATGAAGTCTATTAAGCTTAAATTCAGAGCCCTGGAAATGTGTTCATATCATCAAGTATTTTTGTAAAATTTGCAACATTGTGTGTGTGTGTGTGTGTTGTAATGGAGACATTCCAAATTGTGTAACTTCATACACTATCAATATTGGATCCTTCTCTTTTTCACCTCAGGAGTTTTTTTAAGGATTATATGATAGTACATGTAAAGCTTTAGGATTAAGCTAAGAACACAGAAAACATTTCATTAATATTCATTCTCATGATTATCAACTATCATAGGCAATTTGTATGTGTTTATTCTTCCCATTGCTGCATACAATTGAGAGTTTTATATCTTAAATAGTGTAGGTTAGGGTTGTTTAAGAAATGGCTTAGTATACTAGCCAAGTTTTCTTTCTACTCAACAAATTCGGAAAGAGAAATAGTATGAAATACATTAATTCAAATATTAGACTTATTGATCATACTAAGAAGGGTTAGCTTTAGAATTTTATTTTGGCAAAAGAAATCCAAGACATTTATTCAGATAAAGCTATGATGCCATGCAGAGTAAAGTTGCCTTGTCAGGTGGCTGTTACAAGAAAAGATGAGTAGATGGATGAACTCACCAGAATTACACAAATCTTATCATAGCTATACAGAATCATCCAAATATCCAGGGATTTAGCAATATATTCAAAAAAGGCCATGCCAATTTTTGTGTCACAGTTTTACATTTGGAACATATGATACCTATTTTACATTCATAATGTAAATCTTATTCAGATGACCTCTATTTTACTATTTATAATATAAATGCCTGCAAACCTAGAAGTTACAGATAGGTTATTTCTAGAAATCATGGTTTATCACACAAAGAATCACAATAAATATTGGCGTCTGATTAAGCTCCACCTTTGGATTTCCTATTATGTTATTCAAACAAAGGAAATATATACATGCATTAAGTATAAATAAAATTCACCCAAAAACATGACTTGTATTTCAAATATTAGACATTTGAATATTAAACTCATTAAATCATTGAGTCAATATAGAAATTTATTTCCTGCTTCAAGATAAAACAAATTTAAGATAACACTAGCATTGGCTCTACCAAAAGCTTAAATCCTGAAGCAATGATTATTTATATTCATGTAGAATTGGTTTTTGAGTCCCTTTTAATGTTAACAATATGTATATACATATACACTGAGTGGCCAGATTATTATGACCACCTCATCAATACTTCGTTGGGCCACCTTTTGCCTTCAATACTGCGGCGATTCTTCTTGGCATTGACTCCACGAGATGTTGAAAGGTGATGCGAGGAATCTGACACCATGCCTGATGAATAGCACTGTCCAGTTCTGTGAGATTTGATGGTTGTGGAACCAGCTGCCTGATGGCTCTTTTAACTTCGTCCCACAAATGCTCAATTGGATTGAGATCTGGTGATTGTGGGGGCCACCTAAGCAAGGTAAAGTCTCCCTCATGTTCTTGAAAGCACTCCTGCACAATACGAGCACCGTGGCATGGCGCATTGTCTTGTTGGAAGAAACCATCTCCATTGGGATACGCCATCAACATGATAGGATGAACTTGATCAGCAATGATACTTAGGTATGTTGTGCTATTCAGATGTTTGTAATGATCTGGCCCTCTAGCAACTTCAGCGCAAAATTATAGCTCATTTGCCGACAAACGTCAGGTGGTCATAATAATCTGGCCACTCAAGTGTATATTTATGTAATTTAAAGTTCTTTTCAGAGAAAAATGCTAGCTATGTTTGTCTTGCCTTTTCTAAGTCAATCATAAATTGTCTAATGAATTCACTCAGAAATATTAAGAAAGAAAATTGTTTATTTTTGCTCTGCTCAATAGAAATAAAACAAGTAAGTTATTTCCAGGTAGCAAGCTGAGTGGCCAAAATTACAGTGCCATTTTCTGCTTTATGCTGTGCCCATTTATCAAAACAGAATTGGTCACTGGGTTCTTAGCATTGCTTTTCAGAGATGTCATACGCACTGCAGAAGAGCTGACTAAGTAGCTGGTTGATCTCTCTGGATAGGACTTCCTCCCACAACAGAGCTGGCTATTGAAATGCCTCCTAAAGCTTTCACTGAGTAGATACAGGGCAAATGGATTGACACAAGAATTGCAAAAGCTCAGAATCCGGGCTACTAAAGTGACAATCATGTGGCCCAGAGATGGATCAATCTTGTTATAGTTGAAAGATCTATACATATAGAGGATGTGATTTGGAAACCAACAGAAGGCAAAGCAGCCCACGAAGACCAGCACAATTTTAGCCAGGCGTTTCCGAGTTTCCATCTGCAAGTACAAGGAAAAGGCCCATTGGTTAAAATGAAAAGGGAGCCAGCCACATCCAAAACTCATGATATAATAGGGGTAAACTTATTAGCACATTAACACACCCAAAATACCAAAACTATTTTCCTTAACAATGGGATGATTTCAACAGCCTATTGTGGTCACTACACTGTTCCCATTCATTAAATTTTATGGTTTATACAAGACTAGATAATAAAATATTAAGAAATGGCTATGTCTTTATGTGAAAACTGTGATCCTAAAAAAAAAAGTCTCTTATTTTAAAATACTTTCCTCTAGCTTAAAGTTATTTGTTCATTTTAATTATAAACCTCTTCTATTTGTATTAAATAGCAGGACCTTAGTGGGCCTTTTCAGAGCTGGGACATGGCCACATATTAGAGACCCCCCAATGCTCTCCCAGTTCAGGCCAGTGCATGTCCCAGGGCCCTCTGTCTCAGTTATCATACCTCCTGGTATTGAGAACCCATGAAATTGGACACAAAATAGCAGTACTGCAGCTGACCAGGGCACCCCCAACACACACACACACACACACACACACACACACACACACACACTCTCGCGCACACCGAGCTTACCTGTTTTTTGGTATGTTCATTATATTCTCCAGGAAGATTATGTGCACTTTTAATTAAGGTCTTTGCAATATGATAATAATAAACGCTAATAATAGCAAGGGGTATGAGGAAATACACCAAGAAGATGAGCACTGAATGAATCTTTGGATGTAATTCATCAGTCTGAGGGTAGGGTATGCACGCTGCGAAGCTGCCGTTATCCAAGCTATCAATGCGCACCACTTCCGAAAACACTGCTTCGGGAACAGCCAGCAGCACCGAGACCACCCAGATACCCACGGCCTTCACACAGGTCCACAGCACCACCCCTGACGTCTGGATGTCCATGGGGTTTACAATGGCTTTGTACCTGGGAAGACAACAGGCCGAAAATTACTCTTAAGAAAGGAAGTGAAAAAGGAGGGAGGAGGGGAGGGAGGAAAGAGAAATCTTACCTGCTAAGAGAGAGATACCAAACTCCATTATGCCCTAGCTGTTTTGTACTGAGATCCCTGGCGTCTCTGTCTGCTTATTCTACTGCTTATTAGCACCGAAGACAAGAAGACAGAGAAAAATATCTGAAACTGTTATTTCCCAAATTGCAGTAATTTGCTTACTGCTTTCACAAGTTTTTTTCTAAATCTACACAATAAGTGTCATTATTTATTGAATACTTTTAATTAAATACTGTTATTTTTGAAAAATCTATTGCTACTATAATTGCTATAATATGCACTAACCATAAAATGCCCACAAAATATTTATTAAATTCTACCTTGATACACTTCTTTAGCTTATAAACCTGAGTAGCCCACTTATTTTCTAAGGATACTAGAGGCCCGGTGCACGACATCGTGCACTGCGGGGGTGGGGGGTGTCCCTCAGCCCAGCCTGCACCCTCTTGCAGTTCGGGACCCCTCGGGGGATGTCCGGCTGCCTCAGGGGATGTCCACCTAAGCTGGCAGTCTGACATCCCCCGAGGCATCCTAAGTGTTGCCATGGAGTTGGGAGAGGCTCCCACCACCGCTACTGAGCTTGCCAGCCGAAAGCCTGGCTTCTGGCTGAGCGGTGCTCCCCCTGTGGGAGTGGATTGACCACCAGGGGGTAGCTCTTGCATTGAGCATCTGCCCCCTGGTGGTCAGTGCACATCATAGTGACCAGTCGGACCACCTTTTAGTCAATTTGCATATTAGCCTTTTATTATATAAGATCAGTAAATTTTAGAGACTAATTTAAATGGGGATTTTTTTCCCATCATCCATCAGTTATAAGGACTGAGAGAAATGGAATGATATTCTATCTTTAAATTTCAAGTTTATTTAATATGGAGACCTCATGAAGTCCTCTCTCATCCCACCTGCCACCATCATAGTGGTAAAGGGTCCACTCCAGAACATAAAGGCTTCAGCAATCCAAACCCTCTGCAGCTAACTTAGCACATTAGGGCAATTATAATGCAAACAAACCAAAATTGTATGTAAACCTCAAATTATTTATATTTGTCTTTGAAGATACGTTAGGTTAGAGCAGGGGTGGGCAAATTTTTTGACTCGAGGGCCACAATGGGTTCTTAAACTGGACCGGAGGGCCGGAACAAAAGCATGGATGGAGTGTTTGTGTGAACTAATATAAATTCAAAGTAAACATCATTACCTAAAAGGGTACGGTCTTTTTTTTTTTAGTTTTATTCATTTCAAACGGGCCGGATCCGGCCCGCGGGCCGTAGTTTGCCCACGGCTGGGTTAGAGTATACCTACATGGTTAACAAGATACAGATAAAAGTGATTTTGGTCAAACAAATCTGCAGTGTTATTGTATCTCTGATAACCACTGGAAAATCACTTAAGGTCTTTTCCTTTCCTCTATGGAGTGGGGATAAAAACATCTCCCTCAAAATTTTATGATTAGAAAATAATGTATGGAGTACCTGTTACAGTGCCTGGCAATTAGCAGATATTAACCATGTGATGACCCTGTGCCTTCTCCTTATTTACATTTGATTTAGTCTGATGTTCTAAAAATTAAAAATATTTCAAGCTGGATAACAATCATTTAAGGCCTCCTTCAGGTTCTGTGAGGATGCTTTCTATTTCCCCCAGGAGAGGAAGAGCGCCCTCAGCCTCAATCCCACTCTGAGGAAGCCTCTTTCTCCTTTGGGGCTTGAATCCAAGCGTCATCCCCAGACCCTCAATAGAAAGAAGCTCATTTGCATTTTGATCTGGAGGATCTTCCCATGTGAAATGGGAAGCATAGAAATTAAAGTAGAACAACAGCAAAGGGCCTCAACACCAAATTAAGTAAAATAGCATGAGTCATGCATTTTGCTCAGACTTCACACATAGCATCTTATTACTATTCTGTTTACTTGTACATTCTTCTTAAGAAACTTAATTACAATCAGTAACTAGAATGAGCTATTTTGTCTGCTTTTTAAATTTTTTATCAGATTGATAACATTCAAAGAGGTTTATTTGCTTGTTTTAAACTCAGAGAGCACTAAGAGTACTATAAAGAAAAATAGAAGTCCCTTGTAAAAAACATCTCAAACCTGGCTCCTATGTTAAAACAAATTTCACATCATTCCATGTATATAGGAAATATAATTCTGCCACTGTCTCCGGATCAAAAATTATAGATATTAGCTCTTGATATCCCATTTTGTAATTGAAGATTTTCTCCCTGCAACCTCTATTTCCCCCATTCCCAGTTTCCTGATTTAGTAAGTTATATTATTTATACTAGTAAATGGTCAATAGATTATTATGACTGCCTAGGAAAGTAGTATATTATATCACTCACTGCCTAAGTAAGTAGTATATTATGACATTCTCTTTCTTATATGCATGTCTGATTTTCCTAGAGTTGCTACTTAATAATTTTTTTCATTTGTATGATTTTCCATTAACCTGAATTTAATCCTTTTCTAAATGCCATTTCATCAACTTCCTGGAGTCCCACTGATTGAATCTCAAATATTCTTCTTTCTTAATTTTTTAGTTTATCAAACTCATCTCTATCTTCTTTGGGGTTTTATTTTCTAAGCTGTCTTATTAGCTTTAGCTTACTTCCTTTCTTCTAGATTGTTTATTATATTTTTAATTTTTTTAATTTTTATTGTTGAAAGTATTACATATGTCTCCTTTTTTTTCTCCCATTGACCCCTTATAGCCCAAATTCTAGAAGTTCTTTCTAGTTTTCCAGTTATTATATGGCTATGGAAATAATACAGAAAATGTTTCATTTTCTTTTCCTTCTAGAATAGTTTCAAGTTTGTTTTGTTGTTATTTAGTTTCTTTATTCTAGAACAACTCCTCAAAAGTTAAATATTTACTGCCTGACAATTCATATTTAAGATCAAAGTAAGAAAAGGCTGATTAAAATTCTTTTGTATGTGGAAGAATAGGGAAAGACAGAAATATGGGGCAGGATGGGGTGCTGTTGATCACTACAAATAGACTAGTTAACTAGACTTTCTTTTTAGATTGTTAGAAAGAACAAAGAATATTCTGAATTTTCCTTTATTTTTTTTGTTGTTGTTGTTGTTGTTGTTGTTGTTAATCCTCACCCCTCACCCTAGGATATTTTTCGATTGATTTTTAGGGAGAGTGGAAGAGAGAGGAAACATAGATGTGATAGAAACACATGATTTTAAAAGAGAGGAGTCAGCAACTGAGGTATGTGTCCTTGACCAGAATTAAACCCAGGGCCCTTCTGTCCGTAGGCCAACACTCTATCCACTGAGCCAAACCAGCTAGGGCTTTCATGATTTTAAAAGGGAGGAAAGGTCACTTCCCTACTCTCACCTCTACCCCATAGCAAAGCACATTTGCAGAAGCACTACAATCATTAAGGATGATGGGAAAAGTTCAAATAGGAATAAAAGTATTGACTCTCCCTTCCTGATAAGATTGTCATGGTAAAGCTAGCAACACATCCAGAGTTTTTGGTGGAGAAGGAGTACCTAGTGGGAGTCAGGACACACGTTTTCAATAGGATGATTCTTAGCCACCTCCTGCAGGAAAGGGAAAATAGATCCCATGGATCTTCTACTAAATGATACACATTTTATCAAAAAGGGTATTGCCCTCGCTGGTTTGCTCAGTGGTTAGAGTGTCAACCTGTGGACTGAAGTTTCCCAGGTATAATTCTGGTCAAGGGCCCGTCAGGTTGTGTTTGAGAGGCAACCAGTCATGGTTTCTCTCTCACATTTATGTTTTTCTCTCTGTGTCTTCCCCCCGCCCCCCTCTCTCTCTAATAAAAAAAAATCAATGGAAAAAATACCTCAGGTGAGGATTAACAACAAAAAAGAATATTCCGCCGAAACCGGTTTGGCTCAGGGGATAGAGCATCAGCCTGTGGACTGAAAGGTCCCAGGTTCGATTCCGGTCAAGGGCATGTACCTGGGTTGCGGGCACATCTCCAGTGGGAGATGTGCAGGAGGCGGCTGATCGATGTTTCTCTCCCATCGATGTTTCTAACTCTTTATCTCTCTCCCTTCCTCTCTGTAAAAAATCAATAAAATATATTTTAAAAAAAAGAATATTCCAAATTTTATAAAGCAAGAAATTATAGTTGAAGACACAGATTACTGAAGGGTCATTATTACTACTAAACCAGAGTTTATAACTGTCAAATAATGTTATACACTAACCAATACTTCATGTGCATTTTTTAAAGTAAAAACACATAGTGCAAATTAATATGAACATATTTAATCATACTTCCTTTAAATATTTATGAAAATGTAGGAATGAAATAGTCCCTCAGTATTCTCTCTCATTGAATTTAGTAGCATAATAGTATGCATAAAAAGTGGGTGTGTTTTTTCATGCAGATAGTCTTAGAAAGACATCTTTAACTGAAAACTGGAAACTAATCCATCAAAATTCATATAAAAATGACATAATCATCATTCACATATTAAATATCAGTAAATATATATGCTTCTTTATTGATGCCTGTTTTGAATATTGCTTATTATATTTGTATACAGTCTTAATTGAATCTAAAGAGGTAATTAAATTAAATCATATTACCCAATATATAATGAAAATTAGATCATTTTAGCTCATATACTAGTAAAGTTATCAAGACATCTAAAAATCTCCATCTTTAAATGTCTGCAAAGCTTTCTAGTTATACCACCCATAGTTTCTTTTTTTATACCAAACTTATTTATCAGGAACCAACAAAGTCCAAGGTGAACTATCTGACAAGTAGAGGATTTCATGGAAGCAAAAGAAAGAATTTCAAAAAGGCCCAGCCAGCATGGCTTAGTGACTGAGTGCTGACCTATGAACCAAGAGGTCACCGTTAGATTCCCAGTCAGGGCTCATGCCCGGATTGTGGGCTCGATCCCCTGTGGCAGGG